CGCTAATGAGCTCAAATCCAGCCCCCGGGTAAGCGTGGCACCTGCGTACGGGTCCCCCAAAATTTTTCCCGCGCGAATTCATAACTCGGAGTTCTGAGATGCTAAAAGGCTGAAATCTTGGGGTAATGTTCCCCGCCCAACCGGGTATTACTGGGCTCAAGTCCAGCCCCCGGGCAAGCGTGGTACCCGCGTACGAGTCCGCCAAAATTTTTTTCGGGTAAGTTTATAACTCGGGGATTTGAGAAGCTGGAAGGCGAAAACCTTGGGGTAATGTTCCCCGCCCAACCGGGTATTAGTGGGCTCAAACCCAGCCCTTGAGTAGGCGTAGTACCCGCGTATGAGTCTGCCAAATTTTTTTTCGTGTAAATTGATAACTCAATTACCTGAGAAGCTAAAGGAATGTAATTTTAAGAGGATATACCCCGTCCGCCTAAGCTTCATTCAGCTCGAACCCAGCTCTTAGGCATGCTTGGTAAACATGCACGGGCCCGTGAAAATTTTGTTCCAGTAAGTTGCTAACTTAGGGGCCACGGAAGCTAGAAAGCTGATATTTTAAGGGGATGTTTCCTGACAGTTCTGGCGGCCAGTCTTAGTTTGTTTAGCTAGAAGCATTTGCTGGAAAAACCGGTGCCGGTAGCAACAAAAACTGCGGGGAACCATGCAAGAAACACATTTTCGCACGGGCAGCCCGTGCGTTGGTCAATTTTTTTTTAAACCTCGTAATTCTGCGCCAAGAAAGCAAGTGATCTTGGACCACCCGTTCACACTAAATCAAGAAGCGTATCCAGGCAGTCATATGGACAGCATGTTGTAAGGTGTTATTATACCGCAGTTATTTCGATATGTATGTGTATGCACTCTTTGAAATGGGTTCCAGGACTGAGCTAAACGGATTATAAACGCTTATAATGGATTATAAAGGATCTGATATTGCCAAAATAGAGGGATTTGACATCGTCAGAACAGAACGTCTTGTCCCAAGATCCTGCTCCAGAAATCGAACTGTTCTCAACATAATCCTGTTTTTCTGATGACTTAAGAATTAAAAGTCCAATCATCGCACTGTTCTCATAGAAAATGCTAGTTCATGAATGGCAGACAATCAGCGCCCGTTTCAAAATTTAGCTTTCTCTTTTCTCCTTCTCTCTCTCCCTCTCTCTCTAATCTTCCTCTCTCTCTCTCTGTTCCTTATATCCGTCTTGTAAACTAGTCACATGAATGTTCATCACATGGCGTGTTGGAGGCTGTCTGTTGATGATTTCCACTCCTATTCGCATGCAAAGTTAAGGGATGAAACACAGGCTGCACCCCAATGTCTCTTCTTACACATGACAACACAGATTTAACTCTTTTTACTCTGCTATTTCATGCTGAGCACGAAAAACTCATGGGGGCAACTCTTATAGCGCTTCCGTTCCCAGTTCCTACCTCGAACCGCTTTTAAAAGAAGAAATTTTTTCAAACAGCAGCTCCGCAATTTATAGCTCATCTCTCCCGTAATTGCTTCCTTCGCACAAACATAGTCAAGTGCCCCTCGACTATTTACTTCAAGTCCTATTCCGGCCAGTTCGGCGTCAACTTAGTCCCGAGTGGTGTGCCTCCCCGCCGAAATATCCCAGCAGTATGGACATTCGCTTTTGGCCAACTGCATTACGGAAGGCGTCCACAGCAATACAGTGGGCACATGCAACAACCACCAGTAAGTAGGCTACCGGCTAAGCCGAAGACCTCCCCCCTCACCGACAGGTCCCGGACAGCATTTCGTGAAAGGCAGTGCTTCCCCAACATCCGCGTTCTTCCGTCAACAGGATAAGTCCGAGATTTACGTGCTGGTACAGTGCTGTAGCATGCGGGACATTGTTCTGAAACGAATGGTTGAGTTCGCGCAGCGTAACGGCGTGGAGGGAATGGCGTTGGCACCTTGGATTCGCTTTCGATCATCGACTTTTTTGTGGGGAGCTGGTGGTGGACGAGGTGGAGGGAGGGATGTGGCCCCGTGCGTTAGACGCTTGTGGATTTCTGGGCTTCTCCCGTTCTTCGGGAGCTGGGCGCCACCGAGCATGCAAGGATGGTGAATTATTGATTGCATCAGATATTTTCGAGGTCGTTTCGGAATGGAATTGTGCACCCAGTTCTCGGAGGAAATGGAAGGCCAGTGCATCGAGCTCTTCCTCAGCCGGTGCGCAGGACCCCTTTTGGCCTTTTGCACGACTGCAGTATCGCGAGCATCTCTCTGCCTTATGCCTGCACTTAATCGTCGAATTTCATGTCCACGTTGGGACGGTACAGTTGCTAGCAGTATGCGTGTGTGTTACGTATGTGCTGCGTGTGTGTTACGTATGTGCTGTGTGTGTTGTGTGTGCATGTGTGTGTTGTATATGTGCTGTGTGTGTGCGTGTGTGTGTGTTGTATATGTGCTGTGTGTGTGCTCTGTGTGTGTGTTGTATGTGTATGTGCTGTGTGTGTGTGTTGCGTAAGTGCTGTGTGTGTGTGTGTGTGTGGCACTCTGGTGCTGGATACTGATGAAGCTGAGTTCTTCAGTGATATGCCAAATGCACCTGAATTTTGGTCGGTGGATTCGGGCGAAGCAGAAGGAAAAGAAATGGGACTTGTAGCACGGCGTACTGGCTGTGGTGGTGTATGAATGCGAGGTGCATCGGCGGGAGGGGCGAGGCGCAGGCAGTCAAGTGACCATATGAGCAGGCAGTGAAGTTTTCCCTGGGTGTGCAGCATGTCGGCGGCGGCGTCTGCGAGGCGGGAAATGAGCAAGCTGGGGAAGGGCGCGCTGCGCGTTTTTGGTGGGCCGTTGGCAGGGCGATGGGAATGTTTGGTTTGCTGGGAGGCGATTGATGGCTGATTGTGGTGATAAGCTGGGCTTTCCCAGTTCTTTTTCATTCTCGCTTTCTGCGCGCATCGCGGCCGGTGCTGCTCTTGGCGTGCCGATTATTGAGCTACAGTGTGCTGTTGTTTTTTTCGCATGTGCCACTGCGTTGTTGGTTCCAGATGGATTCCGACGAGAATGCAGCAGCGTGCAGTGCGCAGTCGGGTTCCAGTGCGGCTGAGCCGACGACACCCACGGTGCAGCGAGTGCAAGGCCAAGACGCATACACTCATAAAGTTGATATTTCGGCCTTAAGTCTCTCGATAAGAAACATCATAAATTCGTCTCGAAAAAAGCCGGTTTGTTGCTGCCATCCATTTCGTTATGCTTCGAATTGAAACAGTTCTTTATTTTTGCTGAAATTCATTGCGCTTTTCAGCCATCGCCTGATTTTTCACGAATAACATGCCATCGACCGCGCCATTTTTCCGAAGTTTTGGCCATGAAACAGTTGAAGTACGATGTGCCGCCTCTTAAACGTCCTTTTTTCATAAGCTTCAAAGACAAGTCCTCGAAGCCAGGTGATTAAGTTCGTTGCACTTTTAACTTCTCTTTTAGTCAGCCTCCTTGCATAACTTAAACTCTGTCAGGGCTTTTCAAGTAAGGCACCTGTTTGACATCGCGTCGGGTTGATATTCTTTGGGGCTAAGTGGTCGTAATTCGACTTCATACAAATCGTTGACCGATTCTCATTGTGGAAAACGATTTTTCCTTGTATCGTCTTTTTGATGAGCCATGGTGGCGATTGTACACATCATCCTCGCATCTCTGTAAAAGACCGTCAAGACGATACACAGATCTGAGCTGTTAACGTTCTTTCACCGTGACACTTCAAGTAAGGGGAATTTTATTGATGCCGTTTGACCAGTGGCGATAGGGCGCTGTTTCAGTGATGGTGGAGACAGACTATTACGACGAATCGTGCAATCTCTCGTTTTTCGAACAAGCGTTTTCAGAACAACGATGCATCGGTAAAGGCTCGTTTGGTGAGGTACGTGCGCCAGCCTTCAGTTTTTATTTCGAATGCGAAATTGTTTAAATGCACCGCATCTCTCAGTTTATCAGTTATCATGGAAGGGATGATGCCTGTGCCCATGGTCTTACTGAGTCACAGTGCCAGCTGCACGTGATTGAGGAACTTTCCGATGCCAATACAGCGAAGCATTTGCACGGTGCGGTGCTGCCGCACTATGTCTCGGACCCGCTGTTTATATGTGTTTCGTAAGCTGCCTGTGCCTGTTGACTTGTTTGAGTCAGACCGGCGCTGTTTGATTTTGACGACTCATTTAAAGTTTTGGAGAAAATATGAACAAAAAATGAAAGGGTTGTAAAGAATTATTAAAGTTGGTAAGAAATGTTTCGGTCCATCAAATCGTATACATTTCTTACCATCGCCACAGTTGCACCTCGTCAGTACGACGACTGTGGTAACAGTATAATTTAGTGAGGTATAAGAATTAAATAGATGAAAGAGATGTAAATCGAAAGAAATGAAAAGGGTAGAAAAATTGGAAGACCTTAAAGAGGTGGAAGAAATGGTTGGAATAGAAAAGATATGTTATTAAGTAGTAAAATCTAATGTATTACCTGCTCATCACTTTCATCTTGCTTCTAAGCATACCTTGGAAAAAAAAAGTAAGCGTTGTTGCGTTGAAAAGACCAGCATCTGAATATCGCTACTGAGTTATATTGCGTTGAGTTTTTTGCTGCTCTAGCTCCCTTTTTTTTCCTTCAGGTTTTCAAAGCGTTAAGCAAAGACGACCATCGATGGTATGCAGTTAAGATAAGCATGGAGCCATTTCGAAGCACTGGAGATCGTGAAAAGAAATTGAGAGAAGTGCAAAAACACGAACTTCTGCCAAAACATCCCAATCTTGTCTCTTTTGTGCGTGCGTGGGAAGAACTTGGCTTCTTGTACATACAGACGGAGCTTTGTCAATGCAGGTACTATTCGTATCATCTCAATCTTCCGTCTTTATCAGTTTGTCGATTTTAAGCTTTCCGCGCTAACGTATCGGATGCGTACGCAGGTATTTTTCCATCTCAGCGATAGCTTTCCCAATGTTTGCTTTACGTTGCACGGATTCAGCTGCACTAGTTTGCTTTGTTCATCTATAGTCCCTCATGCTTGTCAGATCACCAGCCTAACTGCCTTCCTTTTGGCGTACATCGTCTCAACAACGTCTTCCGCATTCTGGTGGAGATTGCCGTTGTTAAATGTGCTGCAGTAAAAATTTTTATGAAATGGGGTTGTTTTACGTGTGTGGATCGCTGTGTGGCATGGTGCGTAAACTGGAGGGCCAATTAGATAAATGATAAACTTTACGTCTTACTCACTGCAGCGTAGACAATAGCAATAATACACAGGACGTGATGTCTGGGCTCTGATGAACAGGGTGGCCTGCTGAGCAGGAGATTCGACAACGGGGTTCCGAGGCTGGTAGTCCCTTTGAGAAGAGGGAGGCCCGAGTTTCTGTCGTGTCCGCAGATAGGGTCGGCGAGAGTGTAGCTGGCGTGCCGGGGTTGATGAGGTCGTCGTTGGTCCTGAAAGACTGAAGTCGATGCTGGTGAGGAGAACTGAGCCCCATGGGATGATGTAATAATTTGGAAGAAATTTAGGAATTTGGGGAAATGGGAGATAAAGCGGATGATAAAGGAAAAGGGAATAGGGTAGGGGGCTAAAAGAAGATAAGAAAGATGACAAATGGAAAATGAAATGGTTTTTGTAGGTATGAAAAAAAGGGTAAGACAAAATTAAGGAAAATTGTAAACACACAGGAATGCGAAAGGCATTCCTGAGTCATAGGGTAAAAAAAGGAAAAAAGACATCATATAATTGTATAATTAGAACTGTACATATTTTACACTGCTTTCTGACGTCAACTTTCATTTCTATCGCCTACTTGCTTTTTAATTAATAACAAACTTTGTATTGGTGACGAAACGCATTGCTAAGCAGTTGTTCGGGTTGTCAAGATGGCCGAGTACAAGATCAGATCAGTTTAAATTTTCTGAATTAATTTTTCAGTTTATTTGACTATAAGCTGAAAGTGGGCGAAATTATCGAGAGCGAGCTGTGGAGTTTCTTCGCGGACATGGCGCTGGTATGTCACCCCATCCACTTTCAAACTAATGTTAAAATCGGACGTGAAATTGCTTAATAATTTTTTCTAGGCAGTGCGTTATTTGCATTCCCATGGGCTTCTTCACTTGGATATCAAACCACAAAACGTTATGGTTTCCTTCAACGGCATCTGCAAACTTGGCGATTTTTCGCTAGTTCTTGATATTGAAAAGGTACTCGTTGTTTCGGATTTCCGTGTTTCTTACTGTTGTGCCTGTTTTGATTTCTCAAATATTTCTTTTTTAAGGACTCTAAAAATGAAGAGGAAGGTGATGGGAAGTATTTGGCACCGGAAGTTCTGCAGTATGGAGCCGACAAGCCTTGTGATATTTTTTCATTGGGCATGACGATGATAGATATTTGCACTGATCTCGAATTGCCTTCTAATGGTGAACTGTGGCATGGGTTCCGACGCAATAACATTGATCATCAGTTTACCAAAGGTAAAACCTTGCGTCTTCTGTTCTTCCATCATTTTCTTGCAGTCGTTTCCTTTTGTGTACGAATTTATTACAGATATGCCACAAATGCTTCTAAATGCTGTGCTGCCGCTTCTCGAAATGGATCCGAAAAAAAGACCCACTGCTGATGAAATATGTTGTTTCCCGATGCTTGCGAATATTATTCAACAGCGCAAGGTTTCAATGAGCAAATTTTTTATGATGCTAGGTTAATAAATGAGGTGTACTAAATGTGTCCTCTGCTGGTGCAGCAGCGTTGCGCAGGTCCGCAACTAGTGGGCACTGATGAGCTCCTGGTGACGAGCTGGAGGCGGCTACTGAACTTCGGGGGGCCTTCCCCGGGCGTATACTTTGCAAGCTTGACAACGACACGACGTCCGTGAACGTAGGAGCCCCGGTACCAATCGATTCGCGCGTGTGAGTTAGGAGACAAACTGTTGCTTTTACGCATTGACACAAAACAGCGATATATTATCCACCTCAAATTTGGGTTATTATACTGATGTAGTCAGCAGTACAGCAAAATAACGAAACAGTACAATAAAATAACGACAGTCCTAGGAAAGCCGTGTGCAACTTCCACAAAATATATATATATATATATATATATAT